TTTCTTTGTTCCACATCTCCATTTTAAATATGATCCTTCCGATGCTAGATTTTGATATGGCGCTGGAAGCAGTTTTAAATCTGACGATGCATTAACAATGATACCGCTTTAGAACTAAGTTCTTGAAGTCATTAAATGAAAAAGTTTTATTCAGGGTTGAACGTATCTTAGTGCAGTTGATAATTGATTGTACTTTGTACCTGAATATGTTTTTAATCTTTGAAATAAGTAACTACTCATTGAAATCTGTCTCATTGTGCACGGATATAATTAATGGGTTTGTACAAATCAGCAGAAAACTGCTAGTTCTTTTTCATTGAAGTTACATTGACCTCTCTACGATTAGTTGGATAAGGGGAATGATGATGACACTCAGTCTGCATGATACTTTTGCGTTAAAAATTTAGCGTCATATATTGTGTCTTGATCCTAAACTCACGTAACTTGAAATTTTGAGCGTTACTTATCTGCTCATGCTCAAATATCTATATTTATATATACTGAAAATAATGTAAAACGGTTATTTATTTCCAACTCCTTCCACATATTTAATAGTTATTTATTTCCGTTATAGTTGCATTCGTGTGTGCATTCTGATGGGTCATCATCTTATATTGTAATGTCCGGTTTGTCTCATTTTACAAATTGAAGATGGACCAAACATGACTCGAAATGTCGTAACCTTCTGTAATAACACCACTGCTCTGCGGCTTCATCTTATAAGAGATTTTCATTTATGTTTAGCCACTTCTCGCGTAAGAGATTCTCGTTTGTTTTTGAAAGATTTTAAACGTTTTTTAATTGATAGTGTTTAGGTTTTCTATACCGCTGGTAGACCTCCATGGTATGACTGTTCCGGATTCCAGTTAATGGAGCCGTTCGTCATAGGCATTTGTGGCGGCAGTGCTTCGGGCAAAACGACGGTTGCGAAGCGGATCATCAATGCGTTGGACATTCAGTGGGTGACTCTTCTGTCCATGGATAGTTTTTACAAGGTGCTCACCGAGGAGCAGCACGTCTTAGCGGCCCGGAATGAGTATGATTTTGATCGTCCAGATGCATTTGATTTCGATCTTCTACGAGAAACTCTTCGCCGACTGAGGGAAGGTAAAAGAGTCGAGGTAAATTCCACAGAGCCTCTAATGTCTTGTTATTATTTAAGTTTTGATTTAGGTTCCAGTTTATAATTTTACTACTCATTCCCGCGAGAAGCAATGGAAAACGCTGTACGGAGCTTCGGTGATTATTTTCGAGGGCATTCTTGCATTCTATGACCCACTAATACGTGACCTGATGGATCTGAAAGTGTTCGTTGATACTGACTCTGACATAAGGCTTGCACGGCGATTGACCAGAGATATTCTGAATCGCGGACGCGAAATTCTTGGCGTTTTGAAGCAGTATAACACTTATGTGAAGGTATATGTTTGTCATGTTACATTTTGCACAACCGCGGTTCCATGGTATTTAAAACTCTTGCAGTGCATGATTGCGTCATTTAGTTGGGTTGAAGCAAAGGGGCGGTGCAGTATTTTGGTGAATGCGGCGTAAGACTTCCATCTTTCTTACACTACCGCAATATCGGTATAAAGTAAGAAATGAATTTTTTTTCCACAACACATTTTCGCCATTGCAATTTCGTATCTGCATTCATTTGTGATGTTCATATGGAGTAGCGGTACGCGAAAACCCACTTACGGAAGCTACCCCAAAACATCAGGTTATATTTCCTCACTATTTATGTCTTTAATTTAATTGATGCAGTTTTCTGCTACCAAAATAGAATTCTAAAATTTGTAGCAAGTTTTTTCAATGAAATATTGCCCAACGATTGCAGAAGCACGGCCTTTTCAGTCTGAGTGTTAATGGTAAATTCAGATGAGTATCTGAAAATATCATGATGTGTTTCAAGTGAGGATGTTAGTAGAATTTTAGTTTTCTGAGCATTGCTTGATTAAGGACCATAAAAAATTGGCCATATTTTCATCCGCGTTGATGAGGATCTGTCGATTGACTGTTAATCTGTGTTGTTAGAAAACCGTCTTGTATTTTGCAAACTTCAGAAGAAAGATCTAGCGGTCTTTTGTCATCAAAATCGTTTCTTATGTATACAAATTTTCTGCTTGTTCATATAGAAGTCACGAGCAATTTCTTTGTGAAACTTGTGCTCTTAGATGCTCTTTCCTCGTTTAGTACGACATTTTTGATGAAGATTAAAATGGACCTGAGATACATTTTTAGTTTGGGGTGGGGTGGAGTGCAGGGACTTCCGTGTCATTTAGGAATGAAGTAGATCTGCAGCTAGTAGAAAGTTGTTTAAAAATCCAATACAATATTTCGTCAACCAAATGATGAAGATAAACTGTTGCTGTAAAGTACAGGATTGTAGGAAAAGAGAAGTAGGTTGTTGTACCCTAAGGAATTCATCATTAAGCTAAACGATATGCCAGAATTGAAACTCTCCTCAGCAGAAATTTATTTCTCTGGCTTACAGGTCTCATATAGGTCGCCGTACATTGACTCCTTTTCATCTAGTAATGACGCTGTGATTATTTTTTTGTGGTTCATTGTTTAAAGATACATGTTGTGTTGGATTGTCAGCAGTAATATCTATGAGCTACGTTGAATAAAATCGAAGTACTCCTGCTGCATTTTGTTAATTATTTACCCTTTTACGAGTTATCTACTCCGTCTTGTTCGGGTGTTCCATACGTTGGCGATGATTTGTCTTAATTGTTAATTAAGCCGACAGTTCGATAATTCAGTTAGCACTTCAAAACTGTTATTTTTCGCATGCACACCCATTTTCACTGTTTGACAGAATGAGACGGTGAATCTGATGTTAGAAAAGAATTAAAGGCTTGCCTAAGCAATTTCAGCATTTGAATTCTACTTGTGAATCATATAAGTAGCAAGTGAAAGAATTCTGTTCAGATAGTTTCGACAGTTGAGTGGTGGCTGAAGTACGGACTGTCATAACTGTCATCATCAACAAAAATTATTGTGAAAGCAGCCGTCTTCTCAGTCCGGATGTACAGCCTCGAAACGTCCATCCTTTTATAATGCCATGGAAAGATGTTGGACACTTTTCAGTAGTGCTGTTTGCGAAACGTTCTGAAAGTGCGATTGTTGCAGCCATTGACAAATGAAAAGATTTTGGAAATGGCCGACTTGAGAATGCTGTCTGAAGAAATCAGAGCCGATGTCGAAACTCATTATCAAGGATCAGAACTGTCTTGGTTTGACAGAACCATCCAAAGAGAATAGAGACATATCTAACACCATCCTCTTGTGCGAAGCAAAGAATGGCTGTAGACTGTCAGAGGCCAACATTACACCCTAAAACAGGTGCTGTAGGTGGACTTGCTTATAACGTGGGATGACCTTGCCACTGCAACTAACACCGCCAAAATCATTCTGAAAAACTAAAGCATCAGATATCATTGATCTGGGTACTAGGTTTTTGACCCTGATACCTCAGATGACAATGACTGTCATCATGAAATAAAAGTTAAATCTAAGATACCACCAACAGTCATTGAACCAACTTAATTAAAATTCATTTGTGTGCCTTTGAAATGCGTAGCTAAATCTCTCCTGGGTTTACCGCAAAAGTGATTTCCTGTTTAGCAGGATTTATCGAGCCCAGCTGCGTCCAGCTTGTGACACTTCTGTTGGAGAGGTTTTTACTTTGAATACTGCTACAGCTGTTTAATTGCTTTTAGTGCGATGAAATCTTCTGTTTACTTCAATGCTATTGTTGATTAAAAAATTTTAAATCTTCTTGCTGAACCTTAATAGTTTAGAGTTCATTTCATGACGACACTGGTACTGTTGCCGTAACTTGAAGCTGAAATCTTTGCGTTGGGCTTATTTTATTTTAAAATAATGTGTATTCTGTCATTTTTTGACGTGTTCAATTTCAGCCCTCGTTCGATTGCTTTATTGCTGCCAACATGCAATACGCACACATCATTATACCTCGAGGCGGGGAGAACAAAGTGGCTATCGATCTGATTGTCCGACATGTGCAGTCACGCTTGCATGAGAGAGAAGGCCGCAGTCGCGCGAAACTTGCCCTTGGTTTTGCCAACGGTCGCTTCGATAATTTCGCCTCACAGTTGCCTCCGTCATTGCACGTCTTGAAAGAAACACCACAGATCCGTGTATGTTGCAGTATAATTCAGAACCTTAAGATCTGTTGATATAAGTGTAAGTCTAAGGCAAAAAGGAATATACGTAATTTTCTGGATGTCAGTCTCGTTGATTGGTCGATTGATAGCATCCTTCTTTCATAAACTTTATGATGCTACTTGCTATTTTTGTGTCACTCTATCGTTTAGAACTGCTTTACATGAGGATAATAACTGCTGCTAAATGTCTGTTCACAATACCATATAGTTACGTAATTTTCTTCTTACCTTCCTACCCTTGCACAGGAGTGGGCGGTAGCTGCAGAAGCTCGTTATTGGAACTGCCAGCAGTCTGTGAAAATTGTCCCTTCTGCTGTGTCTCACTCGTTGCATACACCGCAGATCTGAGTAACTATATCTTCTGTTGTAAGTCTTTGTTTCAGTAAAAAATAGACTCTGATTATCTGGATATTAGTTTCATTGCAGTTCCATGATTGGTGGGATTCTGTTTTGTGACTTGTGGCTTAGCGTAGATCGCTGTTTCTGGGCATCATCGTAATGTTTTACTTTTTGATAGCAATTCTGCTCGATGGCGCTATATCACGACTTCTTGGGCACTCTTCCCACTTAGTTGTAAACAGTTACCTGCCGTAAAGAAGAATTGTAATTGTCGGCGACTAGACTGAGGTAAAATCTTGTGGTCTTTTCTTGAAAATCCTGTATTTGACGGCTAAGTTGCTCCTACTGTAGAAAATATCACATATTCGCTATTCGGATCGTCATTGTCTGATATCTTAGTGAATTTATGTGCAGATGCTTATTTGATGTGCCTTCAAGAATTCACCAGGTAAGCTAGTGAGAGTCATGTAAATGCTGTTTCAAATATATCAACATGTTATAATTTCCTCACGTAGCGACCTGCAGCCTCTGATGCATTCTGGCACTTCAAAACAGCCTCAGAGTCTAATATCACCTTTCTGATGACATCCCTTCTAGCAGCTTCCTCAATAAGTGCTATCGGCCCGATGTATGCCAAGACGGGCGTTCCTATTTAAGATTCACAGAAGAAACAGAGAGCCAAACTGTAAAGGCTGAAATATTCGTGGCAGCAAAAACCACGATTACATCATTAGACATGTTTTTCGAGTTCCTATTCTCATTTGTCATTATTTTTTACTTTTGAAAAGCAAATTTGTAATTTTAAATTGATCAGCAAAAAATGCATCCGATGCGAGAAATTATTTGATTTGTAATTATTTCATTTAACGTTTCTTTGTTCGTTACATTTATAAACTTCTTATTGGCTTTATCTTTGTAGGGTCTTCATACTTATATTCGGAACCAAGATACTCCACGGAATGAGTTTGTTTTCTACTCGAATCGTCTCATGCGGCTTCTCTTTGAGTATGCATTGGGTTTGCTTCCTTTTGAAGAGAAAGTCGTGAAAACCCCACAGGGCACCGAATACGTTGGTCGACAGCGGTCTGCGAAAAATATATGTGGAGTCAGCATCTTA